CATGTTCATCTTAAGACCTATCCGTTGGGAGACACTATTGAGGTCATTGAGCATAGTGTTTAGGTCCTCCAGCGATTCTGCCATAAGCACTATATCGTCGGCAAATCGAAGGTGAGTGATGTACTCGCCATTGCTGTTAATACCGTATCCTTTCCAGTCCAGTAGCTTGAAAACGTCTTATAATGCAGCGGTGAAGAGTTTCGGGCATATAACGTCACCCTGTCTTACACCTCTCGGCAATTGGATAGGTTTCGTACTCTGGTTATGTACTCAGATAGCCATCGTAGCTCTACTGAACAAACACTTCAGTACTTCGATATACCGACAGTCAACTTGGCACCGCTGAAGGGACTGCAGCACCGCCCAAATTTCGACGGAATCAAAGGCTTTCTCATAGTCCACATACGCAAGGCAAAGTGGCAGATTATATTCCTCTGTCTTCTGTACAATTTGCAGAAGGATGTGTATGTGGTCTATGGTACTAAAGCCTTTTCGGAAACCGGCTTGTTCGAGAGGCTGGAAGTCGTCAAGTCTGCGCGCGAGACGATTCGCAATGACTCTCGAAAACAGCACGTAGACGCGGCTCAGAAGGGAAATCGGTCTGTAGTTCTTCAAAAGAGCGATGTCGCCTTTCTTGAAGAACAAGAGCACTTTTTCTCCACGCCTCCGGAGTATGGCCACCAAGGAGGACGGAATTAAATAGCTTTTGGAAGACTTCAAGTACCCGTCTTCCAGCTCCAGGATCTCCTCAGAGTGCGTGCCTTATATGTTGCCAGGTCGAGTCGTCTTAGGTGGGCACCGATCCTCCACCGGAGATTCTTAGCACCCCTGCTCCGCCGTTACCGTAGTCACCACCGTAGCCAGGAATAGAGGGGCCACCGGGGACCGGGGCCGTCTTTTTGTAATTTTCGTCATGGAGGGTATATTGCCATAGTTGCCACGCTTGGCAAGCGGGTTAGCGACCGCAGGGTTTTTATTGTTGTTTTGCTGTTATCAGAATGATGCTGCTGGTCATCTTCTGCCTCAGTTCGCACTATCGCACCATTGAATAAAACAATATATTTTTCCATCATTTCCAACTTCGGGCGTGGTCCATTGAGGTTTGCACAAATAAAATAAAAGAAAGAATACAATTTACCTACACAGAATTATTTGAAAATTTCCTATTCGAATTTTAGTTTGAAAGTCTATTCAATCATATATATAATATCGTCAATATTGCATTGTAATTTGCATGTATTGTTATTGTGTTATTGTATAGCAAACAAAAAAATTCTCATATTGCCTTTAGACAATAAAACTGCATCTGAGCTTATAACTAAATATTTTTTTTAAAATAGGAACAAAATAACTTTGTATTTGTATAGTGTATTTTTTATGATGGAATTAAACTTTACTTTTATTATATACCTACAGAAAATAAATAGTAAGAAGTATTTTATAGTATTTTATCCAATATATATTTTTGAGACGTACGTTCCTAACAATGCGTCGCTGCGTTAATCAAATATAAGTCGCAAGATGCTAATACACAGATGTCGTGTTAATCTCTACACCTGCCGTCGCCAAACATTATTCTGGCGAAGTGCGCCAAAGCGATGCCATGATTACTAGCACTACTTAATAGTACTGGCCGCTACTGAAGAACATTTTCCTCGACAACTTACAGCTCACGTTTCGACAACAATTATATATAAACTTCTATAGTATAGGTCGACTGACTTCATATCTCCCTAACAACATTTATTTGATGAAATTAACAGGCAGTTCATGATTATTTTTTATTAGAATTTTAGCGAGGAACAAATTCAGGTTTCCGGCTTTTAATATTTAATACTACGCGAACGCGCCCCTTCTAGCTCAGCGGTCTTAGTGCCACGGGTTAAAAACATGTATTTTGATTAAAAAAAATGAAATCGTTTTATTGCTTAAAAGTAAACGTATCACTACAATAATTGTAATAATATTTATAGGCTGTGCGGCATTTTATCTTAGCTCAGAGAAGACAACATGTTTGTAAATAAGGGGTGTTTTTTTAAGCTAGATAGAACTTTAAATTGTAAAAAGTAACACAAAAAATTAAATTTTGATGAAATATTTTTTTTTATCGTTTCAGTATACTCTGACAAATCATCGTGAATAGACTCACGCTTGAACAACGCTACGAAATTATCCAAATTTACTTTGAAAATCAGTCGTCGATTCGCGCAACTTATAGACGACTTCGTCATTTTTATGGCGTACATAATCGTCCATCTGAACAAGCCATTCGTCGAACTGTGGATAGATTTCGTACCACATACTCTCTAGAGGATGCAATAACACCAACACGTCGAAGGAATGTGCGTACTGAAGAGAATATCGCCGCTGTAAACGAAAGTGTGGAAGAAGATCCAAATTTATCGATTCGTCGTCGGTCGCAGGAATTGGGGCTCTGTCCGTCCACTACGTGGAAAATTTTGCGCAAAGATCTCGGCCTACACCCGTATAAGATCCAGCTGGTGCAGGAATTGAAGCCACGAGACCATTATATGCGTCGTTCTTTCGCCGATTGGGCTCTAGAGCAGTTGGCAACTGACCCGTTGTTTTATCGCAAAATTGTGTTCAGCGATGAGGCGCATTTTTGGCTTAACGGGTTTGTTAATAAGCAAAATTGCCGCATATGGAGCGAGACCAATCCACAAGAGACCCTACAGACTCCATTACATCCAGAAAAATGCACCGTTTGGTGCGGTTTTCACGCTGGTGGCATCATCGGACCTTATTTCTTCAAAAATGAGGCCGGAGCTCGCGTTACGGTCAATGGAGATCGTTACCGTACCATGATCAATGATTTTTTGTTTGAAAATATGGATGACATTGATCCGGAGGAGATGTGGTTTCAACAGGATGGCGCTACGTGCCATACGGCGAACGCAACCATCGACTTATTGAAATCAAAATTTGGCGATAAGTTGATTTCGAGAAATGGACCTGTCAATTGGCCTCCAAGGTCGTGCGATTTGACACCTCTCGATTATTTCCTGTGGGGCTACGTAAAGTCACTGGTTTATGCTGATAAACCAGCAACAATTGACGCCTTGGAGGCCAGCATTGTTCGTGTTATTCGTGACATACGGCCAGCAGTGCTCGAAAAAGTGGCCCAAAATTGGACGTGCAGAATGCGCTTCGTCAAGAACAGCCGCGGTGCCCATATGCCCGAAATCATTTTCAAATGTTAATGTCACGTATTGATCTTTCGAATAAAAAAAAAATTTTGATTACAATTTAATTTTTTGTGTTATTTTTTACAATTTCAAGTTCTATCGGGCTTAAAAAAACACCCTTTATTAGCTTCTTTGTTTAAAACTGTATGCAGGTCCCTATCGACTGCATTAGCTACGTACCATCCGGTGGACAGTAAATTCACGTTGAACTTCAGTTTAAAAAAAAAAACAAAACAATTGGCAGTTGTTTGTTGTTCTATTACATAACCTTCTGTCTTTAAACTTTGTTTGATGAAATAATTAGGCTATTAAAATTTTATGTGGGCAGAATATCATTTTTTATGTCTAAAAATAAAGCTGCAAATTTAAATTACAATGTTAACGAGGAAGTAGTAGTATCAAAGCGTTGTTAAGCTTCGTCACAGGTCTGAGCGAAGATCAACGAATTTAATTAACCAACTCAGTTATAAGCTCTAGCCGCCGTAATTAATTCTTTTTTTTTCAATTTCTTTGCCTATACAACGATCTCTTGCTAAGCTTGCTATCTCTAAGCGTGATTATTATTTATCTTCGAAAAGTAATTATTATATTAATAAAACTTCATAATTTTAACCCCTCTAATACAGATTATTTTACTCTCTGATTTTTTCTTACATAATCATACCACATGATGTAATACAAAAAAGGTGAAACCGTATATTATAATTATTTTCATTTGTTACATTCAAGGTTCTGCTGCCTATCTCCTGTTTCAGTTTCCACTGATTACGATATCCACGAAAGGAAACGGGATGGTGAATATTCTTACACCGCCACTACACGGTAAATGCCAACCGCCTGCCAAGCGTGGCAACTGTGGCGAAATTCCCCCTATGTGTCAATCTATGGGGGAGTACAATGTTCAGTAGGGTATTTTTATAGGCTGTATATGGATGGATGGATATATTATAACGTTAAAGTACTAAATTGTTCATTCGATTGAAACGAATGTTTAGCAATATTATGTTGACATAAATTACATATCTTGGTTATTAATTGAGGTTTAAATAATTTTGGATTTTGTATGCTCTACTACGAGTTAAAAATTCAACATTATAAAAGTTAAACAGGGGCATGTATAAGTACAATACATAATATTTCCTTTTACATCATTGTTTTTTTTAATGATCGTTTGTATAGCCTTGCTGATTCACCAAAGTGAATTTATTATGATCGCCAATTCGGCATGTAAACCTTTTAAAGTGTTCTTTTAAATAATAATATCATACGTATAAATATTATTAATATTATAAACTTGATTTTAATTATTTTTGTTTGGTTTGTGTGATGTAGGACGCATTACATTTTTATAACAATTAATACTATGATTAAAAAGTGTGATTACTGCTGCCATTGTCGGACCAACTCACATAATCATGAAGGGAGTCACATAACCATGAAGTCACATAATCATGAAGAGAGTATTATACGTTCCTTTTGTGACGTTATTTACAATTGAACAATAGATGTGTACACCGTATTCAATTGAAGTAACATTAATATTAGAAAATAGTACATAGTTAGGAGGGCTAAGACCGCAATAAGATATTACGGATGGCATGCATGGATACGAAATATAATCAATTTTATTTCGTAAAAATCGGGTTTAACATTCAAATAGGCGGCACAAAACAGTAGCCAAATGTTTAATTCGAACCCACGACCTTACTGTTCCTCTGTTTTATTAAACTATACAATCACTTTTAACGATAATTAAAAAGATATTACAACCGTTATCAAAGAACAATAACTTACATCAACAATAATGCAATCGTGCACGCACTGGTGGTGCAATAAGGCAACATCAAATTTCCGCCTTCGTAATCGATCTTCGGGATCTGGAGGTCCGTATTTTGGACTGCATTTAAATACACCAACAAGATTCTGGATATATTAAAAGAAAATAATTATGAGGTTATAATCTGATACAGATATATAAGGCTTTAGAGTTTTTGTTCTTAGTCTTGTTTGCAGGGCTAATCTTAAAAGTAAGTTCCCAAATATAAAGTTTAAACATAATCTGCAATATCACCTCCCTTAATAGTTTAACATTAAATTGCAGCTATTAATTAAGGTCCGCTATCTATTAAAGTTAAAAATAAATTAGTAATGCATTTTTTATACTATTTTACACAAATTTGTTAAAATTCTCCGAAAACCAGCCATTTAACATGTTTAAGAGATGTATTGAAAACTATGAACACTCGTTAACTGCATTTCCGATGGCACTATAGAAGCTTTTTGTCACGCCTCCACGCCTTCGTTTGTAGTGAGTCTTTTAAAGGAGTGGTAAATAATGTGTTGCTGAAGTAAACAATAACGCTCGACTAGAACATCATGTCACGAGTGATTAATTTTTGTCGCATTACAAACCAATTTGTGATTTCTATCGAAACTTGACTTTTTATAGTGAAATGATGCGAAATAAAGATTCATATACGGTTTAGAGAACTCTAGGGGAGGACTCAAAAAACAAAGTAAAAGCTAAATATTTACAACGTATAACACTACTATTTAATGCTATGTTGTTTGTCTTATTATTGTTGATTATAATATAAAATTTTAGAATACTTACATTACGAACTATATATCTCGCTATGGTTTTACCTTGAATTATTGTCACTAACAATAACGAGAATATTATCCATATGCTGGCCAAGATCATTTGCACGGTTTCAGTGAAATTTACTAATATATAAATTTTTTGGATAATAAAAATCTGAAATTTAAAATGAGAAAATATTTTTTATCAAAATTAATGTCAGCAATGATTTTAATAGCCTTCTCCTAAACTTCAATATATATTGCCTTACTAGCAGTGAGTCAGCTTTCATACATCATAATGATAATAATTTGATGTTCTCACCACTCCATGGGTTGACTGGTAGAGAATGCTTAAAGGCATTAAGTCCCTTTGTATTCTTTTAGATTAAGGAATGCAATAAAGAATAAATAAATAAATAAATGTTCACAACGCCGCGGTTCATGAATGCAAATCCAACACTAGAATTAGGCCATGCCATTAAGAGGCACACATAATGGAATGGAAATCATCAAGATTCACCGCGTTTTTGTTGACATTTAGATGGAATATTTAAGAAATCATACACACACGCACACACGCACATACACGCGCGCGCGTGTGTTTGTGTGTGTGTATTTGCGTGTATTTTCTAAGCATATAATATGTTATATACAAATAAAAATTCTTAACAAAAAATAGAACAATAAATATATTCTACAAGATGAAAGTTCACATTACATTGCAGACAGATAGCAACAGCAGCGCTTCTGTCAGAGCCACATAATTTTATCATTCATATTACTATTTCAATTGCACTTTGTCTGCGCGTTCTTGTTTTTAATTAATTCAAAAGATGTATTTGTGTGTATACATAAGAATATTTGCACGTGCGTACATAGCAACATTTTCCGTTTCAGATATCTCGAACAAAAAAATTATATCTTAAAACAAATTTCCATTTCTGAACGGGTTTTAGTAATATTCTCACGAACTATTGATTCAATAAAATGATCTATAAGTTATACATCGATTAACTGTAACAGCGTTTTTGAATACACAATGAATCGTTCAATAATTATAAGTTCTATAATTTGCTTTTAATTTGTTTCTATAATTTTTTTATAGAAGAGGGGACAAACGAGCATGCCGCTCACCTGATGGTAAGTGACTACCGCCGCCCATGAATAACTGCAACAGCAGGGGAATCGCAGATGCGTTGTCGGCTTTTTAAAAAGGAGTAGTTCTTTTGAAGGTCCCTATGTCGTATCGGTCCGGAAAAATCGCTGGTGGTAATCGATTCCACAAAGAAGTTATGTGAGGAACAAAACATCTCCTAAATCGCACAGTGGTGGACCGCCAAACATACAGCTGGTATTGATGGTATCGCAAGTTTTGTCGCGATGTGCGATGGTGAAATTGAGCGACTGGAATCAGTCCGAACAATTCCTCAGAGCACTTCCCATGCTAAATGCGATAAAATACGCAAAGAGATGCAACGTCTCAATCAATTTGGCCTTCTCTTCCAAATGACCACGAAACTGCACGCCACTCGATATGTCGACGCCGAGAATTCCGATACTGACTGAGGCAACAAGGGGAGTGCCTTGAAACTGAGGAGATACGACAAAAGGGTTCCTTTTAGCGGTAAACGCCCAAACTTGTGTCTTCTGGGGATTGAATTGGACTAGATTTAGTTGCCCCCAATCCGAGACTTTGTTCAACAACGTCTCGACTTCAGACACAAGTTTGTTCCGGTACTCGGAGACGTTTTCCCTAGAAATACTGGCACGGGCGGTGTATAGAGCATCACCACCAGTTTTGTCATCTGCATAGCAATGTATGTTACCGGTTTGCAACATATCATTGATATGCAGAAGAAACAGCGTTGGTGATAGCACGCAGCCTTGTGAAATACCAGCGTTAATAGGCTTGTAATCGGAGCATGCACCATCTACTACGACTTTGATGCTCCGATCAGCCAGAAAACTGGTGATCCAATTGCTCAATTTTTCGGGAAGTCCATTGGAAGGAAGCTTCGAAAAATGCGCTTTGTGCCAGACCCGATCGAAGGCCTTCGCTATCTCCAAACTAACGGTCAATGCTTTTCCCTTGGACTCGATCGCCTGCGCCCATCTATGTGTTAGGTAAGCAAGAAGATCACCAGCTGAGCGACTGCGATGGAAACCTTACTGGCAGTCACTAATCAGCTATTGCTCCTCAAGGTGCCGCATGAGCTGGCAGTTAATAATGCACCCCATTATTTTCGAGAACAAGGAGTTGACGGTGATAGGCCTGTAATCGGACGGATCAGAGCGATTACCTCTTTTAGGGATCGGGTGCACGAAAGCTGTCTTCCATGAATTCGGGACAACGCAGTAGTAGGAGTACCGAACTGTGCCAACTCTGGAGCGCATGTCCTCAGCACATTTGGCGGGATTCCGTCAGATCCACTCGACTTGTGGATGTCCAGAGAGAGGAGTGATTTGCGTACTGAGTACTGTATGAACCGCATATCAGGCATAGAGCACTCACACTGCGGGATGTTCGGCGGTGTGTTCCCTCTGTCATCAAGAGTAGAGTTGGACGCAAAAAGGGAGCCTAAAAGGTCGGCTTTCTCTTTTGCGCCTTGGGCCAGTGAGTCATCCTCCCTGAGCAGAGATGGTAGTGATGGCTTACAGAAATTTCTTTGGACAGCCTTGGCAAGAGACCAGAATGCACAGGTTCCCGAAGGAAAGCGAACTAGTTTCTCGTCAATTCTGCCTATGTGCTCTGACTTTGCCTGGGCAATAACTCTTTTGAAAGACCTGGAAGCGAATTTATACTTCTTTTTAAGCATGCTGGTGTTTACATACCGAGCCACGGAAGCCCCAGCCCAGGCCTGATAGCACTCCTGCATACTGCGTAATGCATTCTTAGAGGAGCGACCAAACCAAGGCTGAGATCTGCCTCCGATGAGTACCACAGATGATGGAATAAATAGTTCCATTCCCTGTAGCACCACATCGGTGACAGAGTCATCAGCAGCACTGGGATCATCTGGCGATGAGCAAACCCGCCCCCATGGGTAGGATGCAAAGAAAGACCGCATTCCGTCCCAATCCGCCGACCTGTAATGCCAAACACGGCGGCAACCTGCAGAACACAACCACGAGGGGAGCGTGAGTGGCGCCACTCTTCTAATCAGACAATGGTCCGAAGAGCCGAGATCAGAGATTGACGGAAACCTGATATCCGTCCGGATGAGAGGTCAGCAGAAGGTCCAACAGGGAAGGTGTATGTTCCACCACATCTGGAATCCGCGTAGGCGAAGTAACCAATTGTGTCAGACCATATGCCAAGGCAAAGTCATAAACAGATCTCCCGGCATGATCGGTTAAACGTGAACTGAGTCATTCAGCGTGGTGGGCGTTACAATCTCCAAGTATCACGATCTCTGCGGATGGGATCTGTTGTAGCAAGAAATCTGTAGCCATTTGTATGTGGTCGATGAGTCGGTCTGTGTCAGCATTACCGCTATGGGACCTATACGGGCACCCGTAGACGCGGGGATGGTCGTCGCTGTCTACCCGCAGCCATAGGATGGACAGGTCCGTACTTTCAAGACTGCTGAGGCGTCGAGAACAGATATCCTCTCTGACGTATACGCAAACTCCAGCCCGGGGCACAAAGAAGTGCTCTAATTTGTACCCCGGGTAGGACAGATAAGAAGTATCAGCCGGAAAGGACACCTGCGTCTCGGTCAAAAAGAGCAAGGTTGACTTCGCCATCTCTAGATGGTAGTGGACGACGTTAAGGCTCGAGTGAAGTCCCCTGATGTTGCAGAAGTTCACAGATAGCGTGGCAGGGGTCGCCATGGTTTTATCGCTCTGTTTGCCCCATGCAATGTTAGTATTGGGCAGGATTTTGCCCCTCTCCCACTCCCCGAATACGCGGGGTGGCCTGAGCACCCACGCTCAGGAAGTAGAAGGTAGCTTGACCGTGAATGCTTAGTGATGGATTCTCCAGTACCAGGGGTGCTGATAACCTCATGGGGCATTCATTTCTTTTTACATTCCGCTACCATGTTATGTGGGGGGGAGCCTCCGGCCACGTGCACTAACCAAGCGAAACGCAAAAGCATAGCTTCTACTTTACGCTGGTACTGCCCCTGTGAGGTCGTGTTACTGCCCCGGTTCGAGCCGCCCCATACATGCTACAGCAGAAGCTGTAGCGTGGCTCTACCACTCTTAAAGAAATTAAATTATCAGTTATTGAAAATCTATATGTTTCAATATTTAAGTTTCGGTTGATATTTGATATCTACGTGACTCTGTAACTCTGTAAGAAAGTCAGAACTCAGTACTGTACGGTAATATGTACGCGAGTTTTGATGAATAATGCGATGAAGTGAGTTGACGCCCGATATATTCATATTGTATCTATATAAAGTTTGTATCGCGACTCCTGGTTTCTGAGTTCCACTATTTTATAATAAATCTCCAGTACTTTCAAATCAGACTCTAATGAACTGCTCGTGTTCACTGTCGTGTTCAACTGGCAAATCAATTTTAATAATGATATGCCAATATTTCATGTAATTTGCTACAAAAGAAATGTTAGAAGAACCAATATACGACTCAATTTGGTTAGTTAAGTTAATCCAAGTTTAAATGGATTTTATCTTATATTGCAATGTTCGGAAACACATCATGTTCATAAGTTATCGAACTAATAGCATTAGTGAATAGATAAACCACCAATAGAAGTACCTTAGAAACCAGATATTTCTTTAATATATCTTGCAAAAAACCACTAAATAGAACATTGATTGTAACAGTAAACTGAATTCCACCCTAATTTTTTTTTCTGGAAGAGGAGGCAAACGAGCATACGGCGCACCTGATAGTAATTGATCACCGTTGCTTATGAACATCTGTAAAACCATTCCACATCCATTCTTATATATTTTATTAAATAACGAACAACTTACGAAAGTCAGAATCGGAAACAACACCCAACACACTGTCCAAAATCGAGTCGGCTTAAACCCAAGGGAAAATTGAACATCTGTTGAGAATTTATCAACTCCATACAACCACATTATTACAGCTACTTTAAAGCCTCCTAGATACAGCACAGTCAAATTCATGCCCAGTAATATTCCCTTTAGCTTAGTTTTCGGAAGCTGCAAAAAATCTTTAAATTAGTTATTATATTTATATAAAGTCTTTTTGTCACATGTTCTTAAAACTGAATTTGCCGAAACAATTACTTTTACCCTTAAGAATAGCGATCGAAGTTTACTACTCAAACCTTTATTACTACTCCATTGGTCGTTCTGCGTACATACACTAGATGGTTGATAGTTATTCCTAATACCATCTATCAGAGGCTGCAAAATCTCCCCACCATTTTTCTCAGTCGATTCTCACGATACCTTATTTATACATGGTAGAGCCATGCTGCAGCTATATTTCTGGTATAGTTATAACACGAATGGGTCGGCTCGACCGGGGAAGGACCACGCTCTCACAGAATACCAGCGTAAAATAGTAGCTCAATACTGCTGTGTTTCGTATGGTGAGTGTAGAGAACCGGAGACCCTTTTTACTGGAAACGAGGCATTCCAACTCAGTCCTCAGGGGTGACAACGCATCTGTATTTTGATTCGTAATCGAGGATAAATGTAGATGTCTCTGGGCCACAGCAACCACTTACCATAAGGTGGACTGTGTGCTCGTTTGTCACCCTTATCCTATAAAAAAAACCTACGAAGTTTTGGAGTGCATTTCATTTTGTCGCTACCTACTACAAAATAAAATATTTCTGTTTTCTTTTTTTTATTGTTAGTATTCCTACTGCCTTGGAGTCCATCCTATTTCTGCCATCAAATAAGAGTGACTGTACTGCTGTGTTTCGGTCAGCAGGGTAAAGAGAGGATGTATAGTTACAGGCTATGAGACATTCCATCTTAGTCCCCATGTAAAATATTGTAAATTTGTAGCCAACTTTGTTTGCAGTTCGTTGCTAGTTTCCGTTGATTCAAGTAGCCACTAAACATCAGGTGGACCTGTAAGCGATGTTGTCACTTCAGTTTTATAAAAAAAATGTAATAAGTTACTTTTGTATATTTATATATACAAAAGTAACTTATTACAAAAACCTTAATACCTAATATTTGGCTTTACATTTTATACAGTTTTGGAAATTGAATGGGTTAAATAAACAGACTCAAAAATCCAACTAAAAAGAACAAAATAATATTTAAAAAACGACGACAATAATATATAAAATCGATTTAAAATACATAAGAGTATATAGGCGAATGAACAGAGAAATACCGGCCGCTAGATACAATTTTTAAAAACGCTCAGTTGAATGTTCGTACGTTATTCACTTGAAATCGGTGCTACATTTTGGTGAGCGCATGAACTGGGTCAAGTTTTTAAAACATCGAAATTATTATGATATTATGCTCGTTTTTTTAAACATTTTAAAGTAGCTATATAGTTAATAAAATGTATTATGCTAATTTTCAAATCATCAGTTCTCAATAAAACAATTTGCCAATTTGCAAATCATTTTAATATACCAATATAAAAATAGCCTTTTAACAATTTTATGCGGTATGTTAAGAAAGTCGAAGCACAACCTTGACATGCGGACAGTTCATAGGTCACCAATAGAAATAGCATGAACTCCAGGTATTTTTAAAAATGTTTGAATATTTAAATCTATCGTTTATTTAAACGTGTTAATTATAGAGTTACTTTAACTTTCCTAAAGATTTCTAACACATCAGCATGCCCAATTTAGTCAATAATGTGGATACAGTTGATGGTATTAGTGTTTGTCGATTGAATACCCATTAAACTAAGCTGAAAACAAGGTTTTATACATTTATTGTAGCCGATTTAATCGTTATGAATTATTGAATACCAAATTTTGGGATATTTTATCGTTTTCGCAATAACTAGAAAATCTAAGACATTAAGTTAGGTGACTTGCTCAAAATTGTGCTCCACGAGATGACCTATCCTCACTCAATGCTTTGCATCGACCTTCTGAACACTCTGTATAATTATTCGCAGTGCATGTTATAATGTCCTCCAGACCGAAATTCAGTAACAGTGTGCCCAAGTGTGGGCGCAAGCACAGGTGTCAGGTGTACTCTCTATTCTTTTACTCTCACAGTCCAATGGCAGGACAATCCGACACGACTGTACAGAGATCAAAATTTACCTCAAGACAGTGAACGCAAAAGTTTTATTTGAGAGAGTGCATATAGAATAAATTTTCTTTGTCTTTCAAAACCAATTACCAAATAATCCCCTAAATGAAGAAAATTTCTTACGAAAGGACAATGTTTAAACTCGCCTAAGAACCAACAGATATTTGACAATTACCAAAATTGTTATCCTTAATTATGTATTCGATAACATTCATTAGATAGTAACGGACACTTCTGAATTGTGAAATCAAAATAAAAAGGATTTTTTCGATTTGGAACTTTGTACCTAGTTTTTAATACTAATGTGCTGCGTTTATGGCCTCCTGTGATTTGGCCAATCGCACAATACCTTCACTCACATATTTAAAAAGTTGTCATAAACTTAAATATATTACGAAAACGTTTATATTTTAAAATATAACTCAGATTAATATATGCCACAAGGAACTGAAGTGCCCGTCAGGTGTTATTGTTCTTACATACAATTATGTGTAATTTCGAACTTAAACAGGTATTTTCTTTCACTGTTGGTTCTTAGGCGAACATTGTATGGACGCAGAACAATGTCCTTTCTATTATTTAATATGTTGACCGTAAACAATCTTTAATAAAATTCTTAATAATCCTAATAAGACAGAATTTCATGGCGACACATCGCTTGCAACTTTACAAAGCGCAAATTTGGCCTCACATGGAATACTGTTCTCATCTCTGGGCCGGGGCAATCCAGTGCCAGATCCTTCCATTTGACTGCATCCAGCGCAGAGCGGTTCGAATCGTCGACGACCGAGTTCTTTCTGATCGGCTCGATTTACTGGCGCTGCGTAGGGATGTTGCATCCCTTTGCATTTTCTATAGAATCTACCGCGGGGAGTGCTCTGAAGAATTGTTAGGATTAATTCCAGCCGCAAAATTTCACGAACGCACATCGCGTCAAAATTCACGTTACCATCCTCATCATTTAGATGCTTGGCGGTCCACCACTGTGCGTTTTACTAGAAGTTTTCTTCCTCGCACAACTTCTCTGTGGAATTGTTTACCACCGGAGATTTTTTCCGGACCGATACGACTTAGGGACCTTCAAGAAAAAAGCTTATTCCTTTCTAAAAGGCCGGCAACGCACCTGCAATTCCCCTGGTGTTGCGGTTGTTCATGAGCGGTTGTAGTCACTTACCATCAGGTGAGTCCGCTCGCTCGTTTGCATCTCTTCTATAAAATAAAACTCTACTCCACTTCCACTCCACTTATTTTCAATAATATTAATGCTGTAAGACAGTTGGCTTTTACAACTTCAGTGTGATCAGAGCTGGCAGCGGCATCAGTATGGTGACGCTGATGATGATGCAGTTATATCTGAACGTTAGTTTTTCATTACGGTATTTACCTAAACATAAATCAGTGTACAGATAAGTTGACTAAACACCGTCTGAACTGAGGTGGCGGGACCCGTCTCTGACGATTAAATTTATTGTGTAGTTCTGGTGGTTCTTGTGGGTTCTGCCTATGCACACCAGAGTGGTCCTCTACACATCATAAACTCGGTACGACGTGTAGAGGACTACTCTGGTGGCTCTGCTTAGGGCGTTATTTCAACGACTTAGATATAGGTCTACAAACTATAATTGGTCGCGTGCGCGAAAACTACTGTTGCGTAGGACATAATAGGTCTTACGCACATTTTATAAAGATGGAGATTGCGTGTTAAGTTTTCTTTTGTTGTTAACTACCGGATGGAGGCAATAGGTCGTCTTAGCCTTCGATTCCCATGGGATTTTGCAGCCGTATTGGGTGATCGCGCTTATCTCTTCGGATTTAAGTTCTCACGACTGAGAGAGGAGTTCCTTTGTATTGATTATACTTTATATTGCTACATTTTTCTCAGAATTTACTTAGGTTCTCCATAAGTAAAACCCACCGCTTATGCGAACTGCAGCTTTTTCGAGTATTTTTTATAATTAATAACTATGGCCAATGAAAAATAAAACATAAAATTTATTTTTCTACATAATAAGATGTTATTAAATATTTTTATAATGATACGCGTGCTTCCTAGAGCTCTTTGAATGGTATTTTGTTATTAAATGTCTTATAGTTAACTACACAAATGTTTTCCACTCCATTTCTCCGTACATTTAAAATACTCGATCTTAGTTCCACGCCGCTGGCATGTCGCAATGAATTTTTCGCTAAGCTCCTGAATTATTAAAAGTAGTTGACTTGTTTAGAGGAAACGGTTGTAATATACTTGTGCTCGCTTCTTTAAATATGCATTCTAATGAGTTTCATTTAAGTGTAATGTTGTTAGGGAAATAAACACATTTTTTTCATTGACGGCTCCGTGGCGCAGTGGCTTAGCAGTCAGTTGTTGCGCTGGGGGCCGCGGGTTCGAATCCCGCACGGAACAAGTATTTGTATGGCCTACAAATAATTGTTCCGGGTCTGGATGTTTGTCCTTGTGCAATTTATGTTTGTAAACTGCCTCCACGACACAGGAGAAAATCCTAGTGTGGGGGTAACATTATTAGAAAAAAAATGATAAAAACTTTTTTTTTGTTGTAATAAGAGATGGAAAAGAAATGTTGGTACTGATATTGTAAAGACATGTTGATAATGGTATTTAAATAATATATAAAACTTAGAATGGAAAAGTGAATATGAACTTTTCCTAAGAAAATATTTTTGTTTATAACCAATTTGAAAATAATGGATGTGACCCAGGAGGTCCTAAATCCTAGGTCTACATAGCAATCTTCCTAGTAGAAGGTGACAAAAATGCGCCACTAAAGTGGTCTTAAAATGGACTCACTTACGCCGAAGTAAATTAATCGTGTCGTTAACTATCACGAAAACGGTCGTAAATTTTACTAGCAAAAATGTCGAGTAAAAAAAATAATAATATTTTGTATCACCAGTAAGTCAAAAATATGTCATTAATAAACATGTTTACATTAATCACTTTTTGAAAATACCTAATTTTTCCTGTGCCGCACTCGGGAGGGCGCCTTTGCCCAGGTGGAGTGAAAGGCCGCGGATGACGGTGCACTTAGTATTCTGATGTACCTTAGCTGAGAAGAAGTAGAGTGTGGAGTTGTTTTCTCCCGATGAAGGGCTACGATGTCGCGGAAAGCGTTCCCGTGGCTACTACTGCCGATAAGTGACGAATGTGAAACACCATTTGGTTTTAATCGGTGCAACTCCGAGATAAACCATTCCTGTCCCCACGAGGCTAATATGCATAGGCATTTATGTAAAAAAAAAAAGAATACTATAAAGAAGTATATTAAAAAGGTCACGATAAGCTACTACTAAATATGTAGTTTAAAACTTAAATGAATAGAACATTTCAAACAAGACATTATAAATATCCCATTGCAATGCAAACGAAACTGTCAAGTCGATTCAGATGCGACATTGAGTGAACGATTTTTTTTTTCAAAATTCAATGTTTCACTTTGTACCTAAATTTCTTCAAATTTTATTATTTACGATGCGAAAGTATAACCTGCCATGTAACAAGTTAAGGTCTAATTTTTTTTCAATTTAAGCAAATTCTATTTCTTTTAAAGAACGTTTAACAATTTTAATTTATACATAGCCGTGGTAGCCGCTATAAATTTCGCAGTACGCGAGCAATCCGTGTTTGATCACCGCCATACAAATTATATGGTTCATTGCACTTTTAAATTCAGATTTGCAGAGTTACAGATAACCACTGTGTCTAAGGAATGAAATAATTCGAGAATATATAAAATCGACCAACATACACTGGAGCACATAGAGCTCGGCAGACTAATAATAACCATCTTAGAAACGAGACGAGGTTAGTGTTCAGTATTCGGACATGTATAAACTGCAAAACCTTAGATACTAGTTAGTGTAAATATATTTATATTTAATGTATTTTAACCTCCCATCCTTTATAAAGCGTTTCGTCTATTCTTTTTAGAATTAATCCATGTAGTTTAAGGTCGCGAGCAAAACAAAAATCAGAATATTTAGAAATATTAGTTACTAATTGAATATAGTACTTACAATTTTCTTTTTATTTCGTATAGAAATTTGCCTGAAATATTCTCTTAAATATTGTAGCTCCTCAATAACTTCCATTATAAATTTTCGTTATGACGTAATAAAATAAGTTGGATTAATTTGAAATAAGTATATTAATTTCAAATGAATCCAATTTCTTGGCATAAACACATGATATGTTGATCTTTAAATCTATTTACGTTGTTATTACCTCAGTGTTGTTCACTTTGCATCCTAACCTACCCTTCGATCTTAACGCATAAGTTTTTCATATCGGATAGATTAACTGTGAAGAGTGACTTCTTTCAATATGTATGTATGCTGTACGTATCTCAGACAATATTCGGAAATTGTTGTCATGGTTTGGGTCGGTTAGAAGAACTAATAACTACAAATTTTATACAAAATATTAATAGATAAGTATTCATTAATTCCTTCATTACAGTATTTTACAAATCGACTGTTGAACATAGGCCTCCCCCCAAGAAATGCTGCAAAACACGGTCGGTATTTTTTTTAGGAGAATAAAGCTTCATCCAATTGATTTTCGAGTTGAATCACTTGCCGTTAAATACGATATGGATTGAAGTTGAATCTGTCATTTAATTACGTTTGCAATGTGCAAGTATGTGAACTTGGTAATCGATTGATTCTACGAATTGTTCGTTCATTGTACATTGTTCGTCGATTGTTACCCACACTTACTGCGCTTCAAGTGTCATGTACTGACCTTAAAACAAAGGAGTATGCTCACTTTTTATTTATTATATAAGTTTTAATATTTTATTTTGTTTACCGATAAAAGGCGCTTAATAGATTCGGTATGAGCTGGTGTGCTGTACCATTGTAACTTCGATTTGAACACGTCATTCTTTTTTAGACGATGTAGATAACATTAATTCACTATACTTAATAGTTTTCCCCGTTGGCAATATGTTCATTTATCTAAACAATATATTTTCCAACCGCAAACTAAAACGACTTCGTTGTCTAGAAACTGTCTTAGTATAAAATCTTTAAAATAATAAAATAATAAATACGCAAAATATATTTTGTCTATATTTTATTTGTACCCTACTGTCTCGTGGGGATTTAATATTATTTAAGACATCTATAAAAAATTACTTACTGCCAAGATCCCAAATATGTATTCCCAATTGACATGAGTTAAAGTAAGCAACTACCTACTTAAAGGAAATATAATCGTACAGATATCAAATTATAATATTAACTAACATTCAGTATAGGTATGTAGAACGCGAACGATTTTCAATTGCGATATGCCTAAGTAGGCACATGTTATTACGTAACATTTCATTTTAACTTATTCCCCCTGCTGTAACCCCAGTAACTCGCAGGCTCGAAAGGCGACGAAAGTATGACACAATACTATTACATTTATATATTTATTTTTCATTACATCAAAGTTGTACGTACGAGTTGTTCATTTTTTTTATAGAAGAGGGGGCAAACGACCATTCGGCTCACCTAATTAAAACCTAAAAAAACAACTGCGAGAATTACAGGTGTGTTGCTGTGTGTTATGTGATTTCAAGTTAATTTTATTTCAAAATGGCAAGAGATAAATATAAGGAGGAGAAGTTTAATAAATACTTACGTACATTATTAATCCGCGTTCGCCACGGATGAGTTAAACCAATTTTAAGCCCTTATATTTAGTTTAGCCCTTGCATCTTACAGTCTATGTATATAACTAAGGCTATTTTATATCGTGAAAATCTAGCTTTTAGACGAAATCACGGGCAAAGGCCAGTCATTTAACAAAACTTTAATCTCACCAAAATGTAACATATAAAATAAATAACAGTATTGGTTGACGAAATTTTATAAGTAGGTAATCTATCCAGAACACTTACCATTGCTATAGGAAAAGACAAATTGCAACTTAAAAAACATAATATTCCAACCAAGTATACATTTTTAACTGAACGAAATTCACTATGCAAAATCTTCGACATCGTCAATGTCAGCATTGCCTGAAAAAGAGACTTAGCATTTATAATGTGATAAAAAGTCGAAAACAATTTTCAGTGTCAATATTTATACTGCACTTATAATATTTTTTTTATAGGATAGAGTAACAAACGAGCACACAGTCCACCTGATGGTAAGTGGTTGCTGTGGCCCATAGACATCTACATTTATCCTCATTTATGAATCAAAATGCAGATGCGTTGTCACCCGTGAGGACCATGATGGAATGCCTCTTTTCCAGGAAAAAGGGTCTCCAGTTCTCTACACTCACCATACGAAACACAGCAGTGTTAAGCTGCTATTTGACGCTGGTATTCTGTGAGAGCGTGGTCCTTCCCCGGTCGAGCCGACCCATTCGTGCTACAATTATACTACTGATATATCTGCAGCATGGCCACGTATAAATACAACATACCACGTACACATATAAATTGCAATGATATTTATGATATTTACTTTATTACAATTTATTGGCCGTGTTGTGAGAAATTAGGAAATCTATCACCCTATCATTCATGGTTGTCGTAAAAGACTGACTACCTAACCTAGCATTTCTGCCCAAGAATCCGACTGAGTTAGAACCAAACTAACAGTAGTGTACCCACTGCTGTGTTCCATTTTGATCAGTCGAAAAATCACAGGCTATGACTAGCTACGTGTGGATTAATTCTTATAAGAATGATTTTTAGAGGAGCCGTGGTAGCTCAGGGGCTAAACTCTCGCTATAAATTTCACTGTACAGTAAATGGTTAGTAGCAATTTTAAGTGCTGATTTACCACATGCTCGGCGGTGAAGGAAAACTTTGTGAGGAAACCTACATGTCTGAGAAATGAGACAAAAATATTTTTCGAAAACATGTGAAGTTCACCAACACGCATTGAGGCAGCGCGGCGTACACTCCCTTGCCCTAAAATCTTCACAGAGATCAGAGGCGAGCTGTGCCACAGAATGTGACATATGTAGGCTGTAACTTTAAGTATGATTTTATTCTAAGTCAGATTGTTCAAATCATAACCAAAAACAAACTAATTTTAAATATGTTCGATTCCAACAGGAATAAGTAAATAAAATTGCATAATTACAATTAGGAAATTAGAAATTGAGAAATTAGAGCTACAAAATGCACAGGGCAGCGTTGCAGAATCTGCTCTTGTTCAAAAACCCCATAAAAATAAGAGGAAATATGTATCCAGTTGTGGCTCGTACTATGTAGACACTATTACTTTAATTAACTACTTGCTATTAGTAATTAAAGATTGACAAAAATTTACTCACCAAATAAGCAACTAAAGAGCTTATAACATTCTCATATATGTAAATTGTGTAAATTTTGTTTGCTTGCATGAACTCCGCGCTCAGTGGTAATAGAGCAAAAAGGAGATAGTGGGTATTAATCGCTTTTTTTACTATAACGCAGCGTGTCAACGCCAAATATAATATTCGAATGATTAAAGATCTAGCAAATGCAAGGATAGTAAACACTATTGTGAATATTACCACCGCATTATCGACCATAGTGTGTGCGGACATAGTACCAAAATCATATACACCAACGAGTCCGATACCGAAGGAGAATGTAACGCGATCGATGGCTGATGCCTGAAAAAAAATCTATATGAAATACGAATGATTTAAATCACATTATTTATATCCAGTCATAATTCATTTCTGCGTTTCTTTTTTTCGAGCTATATAGCTGGCCGATTGCCACTTCAGCTTACTGATCCGTTATGTCGGTTACTCTGGGTTCTGTCGGTCGTTTCCCGCTGGGTTTCTTGCTGATTCTTCCCAGGACGGACGTATTTTTCGAACCAGTGGTAAATAAAAAAGTGACTTTTAATAAGTATTATGTAATACTTAATAAATTCTTTATTCAATAAAAATTATTCTATTCTGGTTCTGGTGCGGTTATAACTCCGAGCATAGCCCATAGCTCGCTGAGAGACCTTGAACTTTGCATAACTTAGATCTTCCCAAGAATAAGCTAGCAAAGGTTATTCTAATCTAGAGATTAGAATAACCTTAACCTTTGCTAACTTATTTTTAGTGTAGTCTTACATTTAGTGTAGACACTAGACAGATAGATTTTATTTGCAGAAATCGATACTTTAGGACTGGTAAATTTGCAATGCTGCTACCCTTCACCAGTTTGCAATTTTTAACGTTTTTGAAGTGCTTTTTTAACATGAGCCTATAAAAGTTCACCGCTGGACACCTCGCGTTGAGATGAGTCTCTTTTATCGGCACGCTTGGTAGACAGATTTACGATTGAATTACAAGATGTTTCACATATTTGAGGCTGCTCCCTGTCGCCGGTTTAGATGTTTTACATCTGGAATAAATGAGATGGTTACAGCACCACCTAAGGGAGCTAATCTCACTGGATTTTTCCATAGTCGCCTCTAACGACTTCCAAAGGACAGATTAATGTAATGGATTCTCTTATGCATATTTAAAATTATCAGAAGTTAATCATCGAACGAAATACGGTGGTATTTTCATTTGCAAATACCGAACGTTTTAGAAAAGTATTGACTCCGCGCTCACTAACCAACCGCTTGGTTAAGGGTTCTAAAAATTTGTGCAAATCTTAATTTATCCAAAACAGTAGGGTATTCTTAAATATACTGTCTAACAGTGAATTTAGAAGGAATAAAATGGAAACAAGGTAATATGTTTTGATGTTTCCTTGGCTACCACTTAATAAATAATTTCACTAATTGATCTTTTAAATCTCAAATATTATTAAGTTATATTTATTTCTTAGATCATAATATTTAAGAAATAAATATAATTAAAACGATAAATAAAAATAATCCAATAAATCCCTGGCCCTTTGATCTTTTGCATAAAGGAATTATTTACATAAAAGGTTGAATCACATGAATAGAGTTTACAGAGATACTTTAGCAGCAAATTTGCTTTAGATGTTGCTTTTCAAACATTGAAGCCATTTTTGCTCGCAAATGCAGATAAAATAAAATATGAACTCATATTTCCGTTATATTAAAACGTATATTTTTCTTTATCCATCAAAACAGTACACTTTTCTTCTTTAGCTAGAATCTTAACTTTCTTTGTAAGTTTTATAGACAGAATTTTAACAGCTATTTAATTATACATTTTTTTATTCGTAGTAGAACAATACTGCAACAATATTATATGGCTCCAGCTGAAGCTCGAATGAAATGGCTCGAGGTAAAGGTTTTTGTACATAATCACTTTCAGTAACTACTTACCAGCTTAATCATATTTTATATTGTGAAACCTACGCGACCTAGCTTGGCTTACACAAGCTCTTCATAGAAAAGATTGTTATCACAGCTCTTGTACTAACATACATTGCACATCTTGTTTTGCACTTAGCCAAATTGTGCTTTACACATCGACGTGTGTAAATTCAGATTAAAAATAATTTTAATAAAATCAATTTTTGCGTCCATTCCTAAGCCTGGATATACTCGAAGTATAAAGGAAAGGTCAAACTAATAAAATTTAGAAAGAGCATTACCGTTAAATATATAACATGTGTAACTGTTTTGTTCATTAATAATATTCATAATTATAACCAATAAAATATAATAATTAAAGTTATGACCAAAGCCATAACCAAAAGCTTTGGTTATTTTATCATATTACTTTTGTGTGATAAAATATAATAACAAAATACAGAAATTGTTAGTTACGCGTATCCATGAAACTACGTAAAACCGATTACGCAAAAAAGATGTTATGACCCAGGACTAGAAGGACTCCACTCTCACAGAATAGCAGAGTAAAATAGCAGCATAGTTTTGTAGTTTTGCGCGTGGTCAATCACAAGAACTGGTGAACCTATGTATGTGGTAGAGCCACGCTGCAGCTATATTACGGTTGTAGCATGAATATAGGTCGACTCGACGGAGGTAGAACCACGCTCTCATAGAATAACGCCGTTAACTAACTGCTTAATGCTGCTGTGGGTTGTAAAGTGAATTTAGAGAACTGGAGATCCTTTTTACTGGTAACAGGCATTACATCTTATGCCGGCAATACATGTTGGCCAAGCGTAGACAAATTAATACAAGACGAGTGCTACAGTCTACATGTTGGTCAAGTTTGAAAGAGTGAATATACTGACATGGCTGACTATCATGTGGACACAACTTGCCGAGTGCAGGCGAGCCTTTGATTTGTTCAGAAAAACCAATACTATTCCAAAGTGATACGAGTCGTGACGAGCGATCCCGAGTGGTGGCAGATTTGGCGCTCGCCTGCATTGGCTAGCGAGGCGAACGACGACGTATAGCCAGCTTTAGGCTACCGGCACGAAAATAGCGACGTCCGAGCGATGGCTGTTGCGGGGCGGAGGGTTCACAAAAAGTGGTTTATGATCATGTTTTGTGGCATTCCTAAAAAGAGGCTTATGCTCAGTATCAAATATTTGCATATATAGGAGGATAGTAAGGTGGCTCCATAAACCCTGAATAGTCTGATTACCAACCCTAGTTTTAAATAATACTTACTTTTCATTTATAAAATTTGTAGGATCGAAGTGAAATTTTCAAAACTCTAAAATTAAATATTTGTCGTTGAATGAACGTAAAATGAAGCTCATACTTCAAGTACTTTGAAGCCAAGTATTTTTTTTATTTAATCTGACAACGGCATTTTAGAAGTGGCGTACTCAAAAGAGAAAGCAATTGAAAAACATGAACAACGTTGAAGGACATATAAAATTAACAAAAACAGGTAACAGAAAATATAAATTGTGCAAGAAAAGCGATTCAAAGCAGCAAAGAGAAATGCTAATTAGGCGAAGAGATGACTTATAGTCGAGCACTTTACACTTTATTCTTAATTCTCACTTAGCTCTATAGAAAATAGGTCTTTTAATCACAAAGAGGGTATCAGACAGTGAAGTTTTTTACGAACCTATTATAACAAAATAAATCACTTTTGCTCCCACTTTAACATTACAAACAGGTACCGCAACCGCAACAATTACGGAGTAATTATAAAAAAAAACTAGATGTTTAATGATGTATAATGTTTTTATCAAACAATCATTTTATCAAATTAATATTTATTTTTTATCTTCATTCTTGAGTAGTACTTGTACTTTTATTTAAGTATCTACGTCTACGAACGTAGAGATATTTTCAACGATTGCAGAGTCTATCAAAAGGGCGATTAATGTTTAATATTGTACAATGTTTCCATCATAATATCAATTTATTAAATTTATATTAATTTTGTATCTTCATTATTGAGTACTACTTGTACTTTTATTTGTTTTTTATTTGTTTTTGTTTTATTGACTAATGGGAAAAGCTACTGGAATAGCAGCCTTTAGAAGTAGTCTCACCCACAGTGCTCCAGCAACTTTCTTTAGGCATATCCATATTTTGCGTTATTTCCGACAATAGTAGCGGTAAAATGTGGCCTATTCGTCTCTATTCTTCTTTCAGATTTGTAATTTTTCTAAGGTCTATTGCTTATATTCTGTCTTTTCTCTTGAATCCTACGATACTACTTTCCATACTCTTGTCGTGTAATGTCCAATTATTTAACAGCCATGTATCATAATTGGTAGAATGCAGGCATTAGATATCATGTAGTGGTGGTGTAAGAAAATCCACTATCCCATTACGTCCTGTGGGTGTCGTAACGAGGTGACAGTGGGCAACAAACCAGAAAATGGGCGGTAGCATCTTTCTAATAACAGCAAAATTATTTATTTATAGTAATTTTGATTTTTTAGATTAACTATGAGTCTTCTTCTTTTCATGTTCCATTAATAATATTGTATCATTGGCCTCGAAAGAGTATATAGCTATAAAATCAATTGAATTGAAAATACACAGAAATTTCTTCGTTAGTTTCGTAACGATGTTCATCTGTACAAGTTTTTAGTGTACAGATCAGTTATCTAACCGCTGTTAGAACAGGGGTTGCGAGCCCCAACTTTAACGGTTGACTCGTATCGTTAGAGGTTCTGGGCAATAAGAACCTCCAGGCGCATGCCCGTAGGGATATGGTATGTACGCGGTGTTTAGGGGTATGCGGCGCGCCCGTCTGCGGACACTGCGTCCCATCCGTCGTCGGGATCTAGCGGAATTAGGGGTTCTATTAAAACGTTATGGTATCTCCGGAAACTGGCCATGACGTCTGGAGTCAGAGAGTTAGTGGCTGCTTTTAGCTCTAGTGGCTTAGGACGTGGCACGACTCTTTCAAAGTAGCGCTAAGATATTTCCTTGAAGAATTCAGAGATTGAGGGAAGTTCACAATTTCTATGGGGGTCGGAGTTTTGCTGATACCAGTGGGCTCCGGTGGCTTTGGGTATGAAGCAATTTTGGACGTAGATTTGGGCGAATGTTACGCTCGCGTAGGACATGATTCGTCTTATGCAAGTTTTATAAATTTGTGTTGCGGACATAGCGACGTGTGACTTTCTGTTTTGTCAAGGTCACACCTTGGTCCAATGTGATCCCTAGGTATTTGGCCGTCATTTTCTAGGGGATTTGACGGCCGAATAGGGTGATCGTACCTAATGATTTTTTCAGATTGCGGTTCCAATGTTTGAGAAAGGAGTTCCTTTGAAAGTATATTGCTACACTTTTCTCAAGTTTCACTTCGATTCGCCATAAGTCAAACTTTTGAAGCGAAGCGAAATTTCTTGTTGTAATGAACAACGAAGAGTACCGTATGATCGGCAAATAGAGCAGTATTGACTACTGGATCTTCCAGGATGTCACTCGTGCAGAGTGCGAAGAGGAGTGGGGAGAGAATGAAGCCCTGAGGGACTCCAGCAGAGTCTATCAGGCACGTTAAGTTTATACAGCGTGTAAAGTAAGCCATCGTGTCAGACCTTGTTGAATGCCTTTGCGACATCATAGAAGGGGGCACCGGTGTTAGGGTTTGGTAGTTACTCTCATAATGTATTCCATTAGGAGATGAATTTGACTTGTGCACGAGTGTTCGGGTCTATAGCCGAAGTGCTCGTCAGGGAGAAGCTTGTTTGCGAAGACGCAAATTTTCCTTAGTGTGTAGATGAGATGACATTGATGGGTTTGTAGCTGGAAGCTCATTTATACGATTTCCTTGGTTTCGGGATTCCTATAACAACCGCCTCTTTCCGGGCATCTGGGAAGGAGCACTAGGAGAGAAAAACGTTGAAAATGCCCACTGGGAGACAGATAAGAGACGCTGAGAGTAATTTCAGCACCCTGTTGTTGATACTATGGGACCGGGTGCTGATTTCTTTTTGAGACTTTTGATGGTTTCTGTGACTTCGTTGACAGTCACAGGAGGATCTAAGGGGTCGCCCACAGCTAGTAGTGTAGACTTAACTGCCCGCTAGGAATTCGGCTTTTCAGAATCATTGAAGGCGAGATCGGGGTTTCCTAGCCTAATGAGAGGCAGCATGGGTAAGGTTTGTTCTAATTTCAGTGCTCGGCCCAACTGCCAGCAGGCGGTGTGCGGTAGATCGATTTCCTCCAGCAGATTGTCCCATTTATCGTGTCTAAATTTGGCTATGCGCTGTTTTACCTCATTTTGGAGGGCGAGTAGTTGAAATTTGTTATCAATAGTGTGATAGAGGTCATAATGCCTTAGGGCCATGTGTTTGCTCTAATTAGCTATCGAATGTCTCTCGAAAACTTCGTGTGTTGATTGATCGACATACAAACCTTACGTGAGTATTCTTCAATCGCCTCATTGGTTTCCTCTGGCGACTCTATTTTGTCGGGTATTTTAATTTAAGTGCTGAGAGTCCGTAGACTCGAGCTTGACCTCGAGCTTACGATAGTCCACGATGGTTTTGGTCTGAAGGAGGATCAGCAGGCTGGCTCAGCTGCAACAAGACTGGCTTGTGGACGGAGTCCAGTTCCAAGATCTTTTCTAACAATGATATTGACAGAACATCTTTGAGTATTGCTACGTTAAAGGTCTCCGGTTGCTGTCAAGTAGAGAATGGGTAGCAGGTTGAAGTCTTAGACCCGATAACATTCGTGTTATTTTCAAGCAAGTTCCAGGAGGAATGCTTGCTGTTTGGATCTCTGGTTATTATTACACTGGAGCCTAGGCTTAGTAAATCTGAGATATTTGTTTAGTTGAACGGCTGTAGGTGCGCCGCTACAATGCGGATGGCTAGTCAAGAGTTACCTTACAGATTGATACTCTTATTTTTGTTAAAGTGGAAGCGGCGATCGGTGCAAAGGATCTTTTGTAGTAAATCATGTTGCTGCCGTTAAGGCTGGTCAACCTATCATTTCTGACTAAGGTGTAATTTGCGATCTTAGGATTGCAATGGCTAAATTTTAAGAAAGTCTCTTGCACTAGGATGACGTCTAGGTTTCTGATACCGTTGGCGTTAAAGGACGAAACAGTCAGAGAGCGTGGTTTTGTTATATCTAACGATTATTCTACCATAATAATATTAGTGGTGTGGTAATTATGCGCACTGGAACTATAGATGATAGAAATATGGGAAACCAGATCGCATCGATTTGTCCGATGTGCTCAATCATGGCATTGAGTTTGTCCTGGGGGGTGAAGGCCTGGCGGAGTTAGTGGGCCAGAGACGAGAGCTCAGCAACGTTTGTATTACTGATAAAGCTGCAAAATAGTGAGAAGTCGGTGACGAAGTTAGAGTAGCCTTGAGGGGCGGGTTTAGACTTAGGGGCTTGGGTAGGGGGCATTAGCCGTGAGGCGACAAACTGCTGGAAGCCTGACCCAAGCATTAGGTTTCGGCGCGGGAGTGGTCACCCTTGCATGGAGACGAGCTTAGAGGCAGGCTGCCGAGCGCGAGACACGCTGGCATGACCCGCGCGACTGAGATGGCTTTTAACTTCGCACTGTTTCTTTCACGGCGTTTTGGTACACCCGCAATAGTTCACTGGGTGTCCCACTTCACCGCGATTGAGGCAACTGGGAACTTCACCCGTCCCGGGCGAGTGAGTGTAGTCGACTGCACCATGGTCACCAAGCCATTTAACGCACAGGCCTGGCGTTTTTTGACGTAATGGTCATATAATTGGCATCTTGTTGCGTGGAGCTTCAAATGCAATTCCTGTCAGGTTACAGATGCGCCAGATATTAAAAATCTTCTTGCCTTCTGGAGACAGGTCCAGAATTACAAGGCAGAGATCAAAGAAACATTTTTTGTCCGTTGGGTGGTACATCCTGTGCACCTCCCGGACTGTGAGAAGTGTTGAGTTCATTAAGGATGTGCTCTGTTTCGAACGCTTTTGGGACCTCCGAACAACATCACAAAGATTGCGTTCCTCTGGGAGGAAGTAAATGTGAAATCTCAGTTTTCAAGTAATCCTCGGTAATCTTGACGAGAATACGAATACTCTAGCCAGCGTTTTGCACCTTCGGGCAATTGATGTCCTTTGCAGTTATCTGTTATATAGTTGGACAGATTGTTCCAATGAGATTTATCCTGCAGAATGATCGGTGGTGTGGATTTCTCCTCACGTTCAGCAGTGTTGCTGGGGTTAGGGTTCGCGGCTTTATTCGCGGTTATTTTTACAATGGATATCTATTCGTGATTAAGAATTTAACTGGAGTTGTAAAAATCCTTGAGATAAAAATAATTAAATCATGTTAGAAATGCAAAACATTTGATCACTTTTTGATAAAAAAAATTCTTAGAAACCATTAAATTCTCGAGGAAAACAAATCAGGAGATGGGCATATAAAAACTAAAAACTGCGGTTGCCAACCCGCTTGTCAAGCATGGCAACTACAGCAAATATCCCCTGTATGAGGCAATCTACGGGGGAGGCCGATGTTCAGCAGTGGACTTTGTAACAGTAACGGTACCAGATTAAATTTTCGAAAAAGGCTCACTATTACTTACATACACTCGAGGTGCTGTGACATCGAACATTTGACTAATGGCAGTCCATAAAAAGTACTTTGTAGAAAGTAACGAGAACACTAGGACGAAAACAGTTGAACACATCCTCCATAGCGATGCTATTCTAAAAAGCTGAAACAAGAAACTAACTTTAGGAAGGAGAAGGAGAGAAGTAAAATATTTATGTTGTTTCTACTTTATAACGACTCCTTTATTTTAAATTACCTTACAGTGTTACTATTATAAAATTTAATATAGTTTATACTTATTTTATTTTAGTAAGTGACATTTATTATTAAAGTATTAAGAATTTTCAACACAAGTCATAAAATTCATTTTCTACCTTAACCAGAGAATCGTCAGTAATGGTTGCTACAAAGAAGTTAATAGTCCATACGAATATAATCACAAACATTTTTGAAGTTATATCACTCCTGTCGGTCGAAGTGAAGTATGTCCTGTAATTGGTAACACAATTAAACCTTCGTTATTGATACTACAGATTAATGGTAAACAAGTTCCAATATAATATATAGTACATACAGAACAATAATGAACAATATTTAAATCTATGTCAGTTTGACTAAGTTACTACTTGCAAAGGTGACTCTATGTTAAAATTGACCTATTTCTCCATCAACAGATTTATTATGATTTTGACAAATATTTTATTTTATTTTATGAATAAAATCGTTACGACCAAATTTTAAATTTATTATTATTTGTCATTATTTGTCATCCACGTGGTAGAGCCATGCTGCAGCTATATTAGTAGTATAGTTGTAGCACGAATGGGTCGGCTCGACCGAGGAAGGACCACGCTCTCACAGAATACCAGCATAAAATAGCAGCTTAACGCTGCTGTGTTTCGTATGGTGAGTGTAGAGAACCGGAGACCCTTTTTACTGGTCAAGAGGCATTCCATCTTAGTCCTCACGGGTGACAACGCATCTACATTTTGAGTATTTATTGAAGATAGATGTAGATGTCTATGGGTCACAGTAACCACTTACTATCAGGTGGACTGTGTGCTCGTTTGTCACCCTATCCTATAAAATAAAGAATCATCTCAAGCTATAGGTGTCGTAAAGTCAAATTAGGGTAGGAACGTACTGGTCCCACGGACGCAACGTATGCGATGCAACGCTCATACTTTGGTGAATACACGTGACCTACGTATGCAACGTACGTTTGGCGTCTTGTTACTGCTTTGCGGGCGCCTAAGTACAAATTCATACTATGCGGTCTGATCCTGAGAGTGAGTTTGAGAATGATTTTTCATATACGAATATATCCACGTCACAAAGAAAAAGATTTTTCTTTTACAAACCCAATAACTTCGCATACTAACATTTAAGTCAAAAATCGAAGATATTGGGTTCATGAAATAAATAAACAAGAGTTTGGAGAATAACATACACTAGTTTAGTAGTTTTGTACGTCAAACTTTCGATGTTTTGCGGGTATAACACATTATATTTTACATATTCCTAAATTCGTTTTCCTTTTAAATCATAACATTAAACAGAATTTCTACCAAACTTTCTAAAGTCGGAGTTTTGAACGTTTAAGTAGTAATTCTGTTAAAATGTATGATTTATGATGCATTTATATGTAGAATACAACGTATTTTTTCTGCAATATATATAATCATATCTCATATCTAAACGTAGCTGGGATAAAAATAAAAGATAAACACTTTTACTTTTAACGATATTCAACATATTTAATATTATAAAAAAGCATTTGTATCGCCTTACTAAATCATTTTTTTCCTATTATTAACATCTATTTGTTCATGACGTGCTACGCATATGTTCTAGGAACACACTGGTATGCGAGCGATTGCGTACATACATCTCCTCCACCTACCACGCCGATCTGGATATCGCAGGTCGACGTTGCGTCGGAAGCAGGAATGTTGCGGATATTTGAATCCGCATCCGCAAATGAAGAACATCCGAAATGATTTAGACCTCTGCATCTGCATCCGCATCCGAATTAATCAATCGGATCTTCGATACGGATGTAGATGTAGAGCAAGTTACGACACGATCATAAAATGAGAATGCACTCGCTGGTGACAAGATCCAACATTTATTCAATTCAGGACGTGTCAGTCACAACGTTCATTTCCTCTGTTTGACTAAGTTTATTGTGTGTTCCATAAATAATTCGTCGTATAAATTACAAATTAAAAAAAGTGAATAAAAATGTCGCCACCAGTACAAAGTAATGTCTGGAGTTATTTTAAAATAGACGAAAGTGATCGGGATAAGTCCCAGTACAAAATATATAAAAAAAGTTACTCAGGAAAGGGACGTACCACAACTTCTTAAGATTCTACGAAAGCTAGAATAACGAATATCAGTTGAAGAATAAAAAAGATGATGCAGGTAAATTGAAAATTCAGTCTAGTTTTATAAGTTTAAATACTTGCAGTCAGCCTCGATGAAAAGTAATTCTCCGCTTTAGGCACTCTTTACGAAAATTTATCGAGTCTACTGCCCTTAACTTTTATATTTTGTATTTATTGATAAAATTCAAAATGTAAGTGTAATCGGACCAAAATTTAAAAAAGGAAGAGGTTTACAATGTCATATTATCATTTATCTTATGACTTTTTACACAGGATATTGATTTGAAATTATTACTCAAAAGCAAATTTTTAAGCAAATTAATAAACAAAAATTATATAAACATCTCAATTGAGAACCTCCTTCTTTTTCACGTCGGTTAAAACACTTGAAGGTTTTTATAGCAATTTTTGATGTTGATAATAATTAATATACAAATTACTTTAATGAGTTGCAGCGCAAGGGCCGCGAATTCGAACCCGCACGGATTAAGTATTTTATACAAGTATTTTCAGATAGGGTTGTAATTTGTTGTTTTTGTTTTAGATAAAGATATAACTTCACTACAAGAAGCAAAGAAACAGCTTTCGTTAGATGAAGTAGTGCAAAGAGAGAAAAAATGGGATATTAAGAATCGGAAATCGAAAAATATTGATAAATGCTTCAAAATTTGCGGCCTTTATTTTCGCCGACTAATGTAAGAATTAGTGCCAAAATATAATTTTAGATAACGCAACCTTTTTACTAATTTTGTGCCAACAAAGTTCATTAACTTTTTGGCAACTTTGATTGATTCAAAAATATGATTATATGTCGTTTACCACTGACATTTCGACAGATCCAAGCTCTAGTGCTTCTCTGCTTAGCCTGACTTGCCATGGATTATCAGAAAACTTTGAACAAACATCCATTATATTGAAATGTGGGACTTTTGATGATCGTCATACATAATATACATAGTGGCATAATTGCAGAAAAATTGAACACGATACTTACTGAATGCAATATTTTAACTGAACAAGTGCATTGCATAATACGGAACGAAGGCTCTAATATGAAAAGAGCTATGCGATTCGCATTATTGAATGACTTGGATTGCAACGACCACAAGATGCAAATTGCTATTTGTAGCTGTTTACAATCGCAGTATAACTTAAAAGAAATCAAACAGAAATGTAAACAATTGACACATTTTAAACATTGATCCATTGCTCAAAAACAACTGCATAATATTCAGTACAGACTGAAACAACCACATCTTAAAATGATTCAAGATCGTGTGACGCCATGGAATAATACATTTTACATGTTTGAACGTTTTGTAAAGTTAAAGGGTGTGATAAGTCATTACGTCAATGACAATAACATTGAGCCAAAATTGCCAAATGACTAGAAAATCATAGAATGCTTTCTTGAAATATTAAGACCTTTTGAAGATGCAACAAGGTAGCTGAGCGGCTCTCAGCACTTATATCATCTGTGATTCGAATTATTCAGATGCTCATGAAAAAACTTGATGCCTATTTAACAATAACACAGAATTCTGATGTTATTCGAGAGGCAGTCACAACTCTAAATACATAATTATCCGCCAAATTATTTTCTTAGGAAAATAATTTATATGCCATTGAAACCTACTTAGACCTCTCGCTACAAGCGTAAATTTTTTAGTCCAGTAACCGAGAAAAAAATCAAATATGAAATATTGCAGATGATAAATGATGATCATATTATTACTGATACTCCAACATCGTCTCCAAATTCAGTAAACGCAAAAAGAAGGAGAATGAGAGATACATTCGAAACAAAACAACCAGGGACGTCCGGACGAATAAAATATCCTTAAAAAGTGAAGTTGCCTTGATTAAAGTTCATCTTCACTTATCGAATCTAAAAAAACGATCGGAGGTTGATACAGCTGCGATATTACTTATAATTAAATATAATGCAACAATTTTTAATTTTGATTGTTAAAAAAAATTGTTTATTAATGTTACTTAAATAAAAGTATCTTGATTAAGATTTTTCACGCAAAAAATTAATAATATATAAAAGTTATAAGAGAAATTTTTCCTAAAAATGCACTTGAACTCCGTATCCGCATCCGTGGATGTCAAAAATTTTGTATCAGCAACAACCCTGATCGGAAGCGTGTAATTGCATTGTATACGTTGCGTACGTGTGACCAGTCTAGTCTGTCTCTCCTCTAAAAGAAATGTTGAAAAATCTTGTCGTCTCTATATTATATACTACAAATATCTAGTCTATGACTCAAACGTAAAATGGGTTCTATGTCACCCAGGCAGGTGAAAAAGAGCAGCATATATGATGTCAGAAGTCTGGCATTGTGGACGCCAATAAGGCTGTGTAATTAGGGCGAATCACACCGCGCGTTAGATTCATCATAAAACTTTATTACATTCAAAATGTTGATAAAACTTAATTTTTCAAATAACTTTCAAACAATATTCGAGTAATTGTTTTCAAACCGAAATAAAACTTACTGGTAATTAAAGTGAACAGATGTTACGGTCAGATTTGATTTTGTTTGGTTTCGACAAAATATAATAACCAATTCTGTCGGTAGGCATGATCCATTTTGAGTGGTTTCTTGACATTTTGACCAAAATGTTACATGATGTAGTCCAGCAATAAGATAGCGCAGTGAATCTGCTAAGTCAGCTGCTAGCTAAATTTGTATTTTTTTATTCAAAAGAAAAAACAATAGAATCAGATGAATAAAGTATATGAAACAGCAATTAAATAGTTTATAGTTTTATTCTCATTGTTTCAAAAAAGTAACAATCAAGAAATTATACTAATCTATCATCATCATTACAGGCGACTACTATTGAACATAGATCTCCTATATAGATTACACCAAAGCCCGGCTCTAAGCTAGGTACATGTATTCATGTTTCTAACGGTCGCCCAAAGCTTGCACTGCCGCTCGAAACTCATTTTTTCCTATATGTTTTCATTTCTTTAAGCGGCAGCCTACTTAAACCTTTGGGCTATGTCAGTTATTTTTACCTTTTGCAGATATGCATATATTATATAGATAGATATATTACAAATTCCATAACACTCATTAATTTTAATAATTCGTAGAGAATGGTATTAAAAATTAAAGTCCTATATTATTTAGTGGAATATGTACGATTTCCTTCTCAACTTCAACAACTCTTACGGAGAAAACCATCGCATAGTTTAAACATTTTGCTGCATCTTCCCCCGCAGTCTCACGCCCCGTAATATGATATCGCGAGAATATCGAGATAGTATGTATAAAATCGGTTCAGTGCACTTAAAGAGTATGAACACTAAGCCAACACTCTCGTTTTATTGGTGCTATTCCCCATCACCATTCAGTGGGATTTGCTTTTTACAATTTGTAATAGGTAGACCGTCATTAGTGGGTCGTCATAGCATTATTAGCTGTTTAGCGGGGTACGTTAGAATCAGAAGAAATTGTTTTATCTCCGTTTCAATTGTTAAAGTCAATGTGTGAAAATACGAATTAAAACTAACTGTATAACTAGTGTTAATTTTTCAAAATGAAGGAAAATCTATACAAAAACGGTTAATCATTACAAAAGACATGGCAATTACATGGCTGTTTATTTTCACAAAACTTCATCTTTGTGAGTTTACGCTCGAGGCTAAGCGCAATGTCGAGTGCTCTTCACCCGAAATTCAAACGAGCTACATTGAAATTCTATGCCGAGAACTTACACAGCATTTTTGTTCTACATGCAGAAAATCGACGTGTTCAGTTTAACACGCCACGTAATTTGTTGCATATAGGCAGGTACGAGGGCGTACGAGCATAAATAGATGATTACTTCAATTATTTATTTATCGACGAAATATGAAAAATGAAATCTTAAGCACTATTACCAAATTTAATGTGAAGGTGTGGCAGAAATATTACATGTTCGTATATAAATTTACGTGACCAAGTTTAATTCAATATCCTAATACTTAACACACGCACCCTAAGGACACAAACTGTATTTGTATAAAGAAATGAGCTTATAAAATTATCTAAGATTCAAAAAGAATGGAAAGGTCTCGGTAATCCTCGAATCTGGCATCATGATCTATCACTGGGAGAGCATCCATCTGTACCACGGAGATATCAAATTTATTGTCCATCACATTATCAACGTGTTTAAAATCGGAAGTGTGTAGACATGCTTTATATACCTTATACTCCAAATCATCAAACGCTATTTGTTGAAGATGAAACAGACTTCAAAGCCTACTATACGGTATTTATGGGAGACGTCAATGAAATTAACTGAAGTTGGTAAAAATTAACTGCAACTTAACGCTAAGTTGGAGAGGCCACGTCTAATGAAGTCAACGCAAAGAGCGTAACTCCTTCGTACTAAAATCCAAAGGCTCCAAAAACTATTGAAAAGGTTAATTGACGTATTCGACTCGGTCGGGTAGCGTTCGGTATCTTGTCATGATTTTCACAAAACCTCAAGATTACAAAACAGAAATTTTTGATCCATAACAAAACATAATATAAAATATTTATTATTATTGATATTTTTGTGGTTTTTGAGTACTTTAAACAATAAATAGACAAAGAAAAAATATAATTTTTTTTTAATACAATACAGATTATAATTATATAAAATGAAAGTTATTATCACGTTCAATTTATCACTGGTTCAGAAAATCTTGGATTGAACCACCACGAAACTTAACGGGGTCTAAGAGGAGAACTAAGTCTGCTTGCTAGTTAAGATATATGCGGGGTTGGGGCATTGACGATTCGTGTCTGAAGTGATTCCTAGAAAACAGGTAATAATAACAAGACTCCACTTTTGCCCATTCAAAATACATTAATATGTATTCAGATGTTTGTTTAGAGTTATGAGTCTCATACCTTTAATTTTAGTGCAATTTAAATGCAATTTTTAGATTTAGATATGTCATTATTTACTTCGATTTATTTCAGTGATTGTCATTTTAGTTTGAAAATTAATAAAATACTATCAGAAAATACATTCATTTAAAGAAAATCATTAATATTATACAAGAAACAGCATATTATATTATCATTGGCAGCACGCACTAGTTGTACTTTTCGTGTTGTTATTTTTCAAGTTTGAGGTATATGAGTATGAGAAGGTGTGATTAACCTAACCTAACCTTGGGAGGAGTTGGACAATTTCTCCTAGGTAAAGATACTGCTCACCTCCCCCCACGTACCCACTAAAGTATTGGTACAGTGATGCGTCATCATCATCATCATTACAGCCCTTCACAAGTCCACTGCTGAACATAGGCCTCCCCCAAAGAATGCCACAAAACACGGTCCTCAGCCACCTGCATCCATCGACTTCCTGCATGTCTTACCAGGTTGTCACTCCATCTCGTGGGGGGACGCCCTACACTTCGCCTACCGGTACGAGGCTGCCACTCGAGAACCTTTCTTCCCCATCGGTTGTCGGTTCTTCGAGCTATATGGCCGGCCCACTGCCACTTCAGCTTACTAATCCGTTGGGCTATGTCAGTCACTCTAGTTCTACTGCGGATATCCTCATTCCTAAGTTTATCACGCAGAGAAACTCCGAGCATAGCCCTCTCCATAGCTCGCTGAGCGACCTTGAGCTTCCTCATACGGCCAGCAGTGAAGGACCACGTCTCAGTTCCGTAAGTCATCACTGGCAACACGCACTGGTTGTACAATTTCGTTTTAAGGTTTTGAGGTATGTCTGACGAGAAGATGTGTCGTAGCTTCCCGAACGCTGCCCAGCCGAGTTGAATCCGTCGATTGACCTCTCGGTCGAAGTTGGACTTACCCAGTCGGACTATTTGTCCCAGGTAAACATACTCGTCAACAACTTCGAGCTTAGTGTTCCCAACAACTATCGGCATAGGTGTGACATGGACATTAAACATGATCTTAGTTTTGTCCATGTTCATCTTAAGACCTATCCGTTGGGAAACACTATTGAGGTCATTGAGGATAGTGCTTAGGTCCTCCAGCGATTCTGCCATAAGGACTATATCGTCGGCAAATCGAAGGTGAGTGATGTACTCGCCATTGATGTTGATACCGTATCCTTTCCAGTCCAGAAGCTTGAAAACGTCTTCCAATGCAGCGGTGAAGAGTTTCGGGGATATGACGTCACCCTGTCTTACACCTCTCTGCAATTGGATAGGTTTCGTACTCTGGTTCTGTACTCGGATAGCCATCGTAGCCCTACTGTACAAGCACTTCAACACTTCGATATACCGACAGTCAACTTGGCACCGCTGAAGGGACTGCAGCACCGCCCAAATCTCGACGGAATCAAAGGCTTTCTCATAGTCCACATACGCCAGACATAGTGGCAAATTGTACTCTTCGGACTTCTGTACAACTTGCCGAAGGGTATGTATGTGGTCTATGGTGCTAAAGCCCTTTCGGAAACCGGCTTGTTCGGGAGGCTGGAAGTCGTCAAGTCTGCGCGCGAGACGATTCGTAATGACTCTCGAAAACAGCACGTAGACGCGGCTCAGAAGGGAAATCGGTCTGTAGTTCTTCAAGAGAGCGTTGTCACCTTTCTTGAAGAACAAGACCACCGCACTTCTGCTCCACGCCTCCGGTGTAATGCCACCATGGAGGACGGAATTAAAGAGCTTCTGAAGGACTTCAAGTACCGGTCTTCCACCCACTTTCAGAAGCTCCGCTGTAATTCCATCCTCGCCTGGGGCCTTACCGTTTTTAAGGTGCTGGAGAGCCATCCTAATCTCGCTCAGACTGACATCCGGGATATCTTCGGAATAGTGTCGGATAAGACTCGCTCTTGGATCGTTACTCACACTTGCGTGTGGCTCCAACGATGATGTGTACAGCTGCCCATAGAACCTCTCAATCTCACTCAAAATCTCAGGTGTCCCGGAAACGATGCTGCCACATTCTGTCTTCAGCTTTGACAGTTGGCTCTTTCTGGCAGACAGATCTCTGGCAAAGACTTTGGAGCCTTGGTTCCGCTCGATCGCTTCTTCAATAGGAGCTGTATTGAAGTTGCGTAAGTCCCGCCGCATGCATTTGGAGATCTGTCTGTTCAGATGCCTGTATGCTGTCAAGTCTGTTGAAGAATGTAGCTTCATCTCCCGTCTAACAGCCATGAGATTAAGAGTGTGATCGGAGAGTTTTTGTGTTCTTCTGCGGCGGGTCTTGCAGAACTTAGCTCCAACCGCATGGACAGTTTCCACGAGCTTGTCATTCATATCGTCCACTTCATTGCAGTCTTCTAGGCACTGAAAACGGTTTTGTAACTCGAGCTGAAAGGTTTCGGGACTTTGAAACAGAGCACGAGGGGGACGGAGCGTTGACTTCATTAGACGAGACCTCTCCAACTTAACGTTTAGGTTCAGTGTGCCTCTAACCATTCGGTGATCGCTACCAGTTTTCACCCTCGCGATCACGGAGACATCACTGAACAGTTGTCGTCTGGTCGTCATAATGAAGTCAATCTCATTTTTTGTGGAACCGTCGGGGCTCGACCAGGTCCACTTCCTGTGGGGCCGCTTCTGGAAGAAAGAGTTCATCATAAAGAGTCCCTCTTTCTCCATGAAGTCGGCCAGCTGCTGGCCCCTTGGGTTCCGTTGCCCTATTCCAAATTTCCCTACTTTCAGCTCACCGTTCTCTCTTGTGCCTAGTTTTGCATTGAAGTCTCCCATTAACACCGTATATTGGGTTTTGGAGGAATGCATGGCTCTAGAGATATCCTCATACATTTCCTCCACCTCCTCATCGGGGTGTGCCGAGGTTGGTGCGTAAACCTGTATGACCTTCAGCGAATACCGTTTGGTGATTCTGAGTATAAGGTACGCAACCCTCGTCGACACACTCCCGATTTTTACAACGTTGTTAACGAGAGACTTGTGGACGATAAATCCGACACCTCCTTGGGACAGATGGTCGCCCTCCCGGTGATAGAGCAAGTTGCCGGATTCGAGGATTACCTGTCTCTCTTCGGACTTCAGATAATCCTATAATATGCCAGCGCAACTTGTCTATCTCTTCTTCCAGCTCCACGATCTTCTCGTCAGTCCTCAGGGTGCGTGCGTTGTACGTTGCCAGGTCGAGTCGTCTAAGGTGGCAACCGAACCTCCACCGGAGATTCTTAGCACCCCCTGCCCCGCCGTTACCATGGTCGCCACCGTAGCCAGGAATAGCGGAGCCGCCGGGGACTGGGGGCCGTTTTTTTGTTGCTCTCATCATTGGGGGGTATTTGCCATAGTTGCCACGCTTGGCGAGCGGGTTGGCAACCGCAGTTTTTTTATTGTCATTTGGCTATTATCAGGAAGATGCTGCTGCCCATCTCCTGGCTGTTTCCCTTTGTCGCCTTTTACGACACCCACGGGAGGATATGGGGTAGTGGATATTCTTGACCGCCACTACACGGCACACACAGTGATGCGTGCTTACCCTAAACCCCGCGAATGAAATTTGTTTCACGGTAATAGTCCAGATCCGAGTTGGGGTCTGGAAGACCGGTGCTTCCGAGTGCTAGTTGTTGCTGCCCCCATGGTTTTCACGTATCGGACTCGGGGGAATCCGTTGCGCACTTGAAGTTGGAGGCCTCGAAAGGAGGTCTGGCAAAGAAGGCGCACTTTGTATTCTGGTGCGCCTTACCTGAGAAGAAGAAGGTTGCGAAATTGTTCCTTTTTTAGGGAGGGTTGCCATAAGGCAGCCGTCACTGGTGACGCTGCGGATATGTGCGAAAGCGTTACCGTGTCCCTGCCAATGTGGCAAAGGTGGAATACTGTGGGGTTTTAGTCGGTGTGAGCCTAACATAACCAGTCCTTGCATCGGCATTTGTAGCTAATGCTAGACTCTCTTACGACAGCATCATCTGGTAAGACTCATATTTATACCGGATTTCAGGGCAGGAATATATATTACGAGGAGCCGCTCTCCCTGCCCTCTGCAGCCAAAACTTTGGCTGGTGGCGGAGCCATAAACTAGATCTGCCGCTGGGTTCAATTAGGCCATTATTTCCGAGTGCTCGTTTTTTCAGATTTCCTGAATCCAGAGTGGAGTCTGGTGGAATTAAAGACCGCGAAAGAAGATGCACCTTGTGTTTTGGTACGCTTTACCTGAGAAGGAGAAGGCTGCCAGCGCTATTGGAGCCGCGGATGTATTCCAAAGTGTTCCAGCGGCAATGCCAATATGCGGCACAGGAACACCATGAGGTTTTAATTTTAATGATTTCCCTAACAAGGCGGGTATTCCCATGTCTTGCATTATTTTTGATGGACTAATGAGAAAAAGAAGAAAAACGAGAAAGACGTATCCAGATTATCAGATTAGATAACGTAATCCAGCAGACTTGGATATGAACTTTATATAATATTGAAAAAAAAATTATCATAAACTTACAAAAACATTCCACATCAGCGACTGTAGCATACAACCAATGGTAATGCCTCTGAGTAATGGATTCAGCAATTGATTGCAATGAATTTTTCTTGTATACTGTTTTATGAAGACATCCATAAACATGTAAGTCATGCCCATTGTTATTTCAAAGAAAAGAAAATCAAAAAGTCTGACTGTAAAAAAGCAATAAGTAAACTTACAGCCTAATACGTCCCACACCTGGGCACAGGTCTCCTGTCATTTCTGAGAGGGTTCTTCGTCTTCATAAGGATATAGGCCTATATATATCTGGATATAGGTCCCTCAAGGTTGCAGGAAATATTTGCTTTAATCGTCACACTTGGTCGGCGAGATGACTATGACAGTATTATATTTCTTGCACCTTTGGCGCTGCTGCCCGTCGCTATTCGGGGTATATTATGTCAAGTGTAAACGAGATAGTTATACTGCTATCTGTCGGAAACCATAATTTTCTTGCTTCCCCATATTTGCCACGTACAAAACTCACAGCCTGGTTTACGACACAATAAGTCTGCGCTGCTTTTCATTGTATTTTTGCAGACTTTATAATATATCCCCGAAAAAGTTTACTTCTCACACATCTAAGTTTCCGCGCGAAGTTTTTCTTCATTGCCAAGGACAAGTTAGTCGCCGGCGGGGATCGAAATTGCGTTACATACCCTATCGACTTCATATTTATGAAACTTTTTGCGAATTCTAATAATATTTCTTGAAATATTTAAACGAGACTCTAGGTTTCTAAAATAAGCCTTAATACTAAAATATATAAAAATATATAATACCGCAATCGTGTTGCACCTTAGAAAATATATCGAAGTTGTAGGTGGTTGACGAATATGTAAACGCTAGGTAAACAAATTTCTTTATACTTTCCCATCTAAAATGCTTTTTTAGAGCGTAATCCTGAAATAATGAGGAGAAAATATTATAACGAGCAAGAGAAGGTTATAAGAAAATGTTAAACTCTTAGAAGTTTTTTTTCTTTTTTCTAAACTAAAATCATAAATCTTTATATAAAAAATTACGTGTCACGTTGTTTGTCCGCGGTGAACTCCTAAACTACTGAACTGATTTCAATTAAATGTTTCACAATGTGTGCAGTTTGGTCCAACTTGAGAGATAGGATAGTTTTTATCCCGTTAAGTGACCATCAATATGGTTTTTTTTTGCGAATTTAAAGTTTTCTAGAAAATGGGTCGTCGGAAAGAGCAGAACAACGTCTGCCTGGTCAGCTAGTATTATATAAAAAAAAACGGTTTCAAATATTTAGAAATCTCTGATTTCTGAGGCAATTTTGGAAAAATTAGTGTAGTGCACTGATCCATTGCTGACGGACTTCATAATATGAACTCGAAAATATTCTTCAAACATTTAGGTTTCCTCACAATATTTTGACTTCACCGCCAAGCATATGGTAAATTTCACTCTTAAAATTCAGTGAATGATTGGTGCCACCAGGTATTGAACCCGGGTTGTTCTCATACTGTGAAATTTTATGTTTCTTTTTTTATAGGACAGGGTGACAAACGAGCACACAGTTCACCTGATGGTAAATGGTTGCTGAACAGCTACATCCATCCTCATTTGCGAATCAAAATGCAGATGCGTTATCAGCCATGAGGACTAAGAGGCCTCTTTTCCAGTAAAAAAGGTCTTCGGTGCTCTACATTCACCATACGAAACAAGGCAGTGTTAAGCTGGTATTCTGTGAGAGCGTGGTCCTTCCCCGGTCGAGCCGACCTATTCTTGCTACAACTATACTACCAATATAGCTGCAGCATGGCTCTACCACGTATAACGTGAGTGATTAATGATTTTAAATAATTAATAAAAAGAAAAAGAGCCAATAAACTACCACGGCTTTTATTGTTCACAATCCAGAAGTGATTTTTGTGGCTTCTTATTCCAAACAAACATTCCAAACACTTTAGAGTTTGTTCGGATTCGAACAACACTTTTTCTATTTTTAGCGCCAATAAGCAGTGTTCCACAGTGGTGTTCCGGTTCCAAGGCTATGTAGTGCCAAAATATTTACAGGCTTTTAAACATTTTTTGACGTGGTAGAGCCATGCTGCAGTTATATTTCTGGTATAGTTGTAACACTAATGGGTCAGCTCGACCGGGGAAGAACCACGCTCTCACAGAATACCAGCGTAAAATAGCAGCTTAATGCTGCTGTGTTTCGTATGGTGAGTATAGAGAACCGGAAACCATTTTCACTGGAAACGAGGCATTCCATCTTAGTCCTCACGGGTGACAACGCATCTGCATTTTGATTCCTAATCGAGGTTAAATGTAGATGTCTATGGGCCACAGCAACCACTTACCATCAGGGGGACTGTGTGCACGTCTGTCACCTTTATCTTATAAAAAAAAAATCATGATTGTTCTCAGAGGTGGGAACTTATGCTGTAGCCTTTATTATTTGAAATTTTCTGTATGTGTCCATATGAGCTGCCGCCTATTATTATCATAAAAAATTGGCCCATTTGCCATTATGTAGATTACTATTAGCACGCTAGTCATTTCATTTTATTTTTAATCCTATAATGTATGAGTATGATAATAATATATTATACATTGCATAAATATACAAAATATAAATACATTTTTACATAAGATATTCGTGTTTGCTCTAAAAAGACACAGGAACCTGTGACATGATAATATAGCAGTATGTCATTAAACAAGGATAAAGGAACACAAAATAAAAAAATAACTTACGCTTTTATCATGTAAAGACGTAGATGTACTTATTTTTAAATCCACTAAAGTCATATTACCCAACTGTACTATAGTAATAATAACCTGTAATGTTAAAAAAACTAATGGTTACTCTTAAACAGCCTCACTTACTGCATCTCATCAGAAATCTCCTGCTGTATATGGGCTTCCCCAATAGATTGCCACAAAGTACGGTCCTGAGTCACCCGCATCCATCGATTACCTGAGTTTTTCATCAGGTCGTCACTCCGTAAACTGGGGGATCGCCCAATACTACCCTTTCCAGTACGAGGCTGTCACTCCAGAACCCCCTTTGGTTTTTGGTTCCTTGATGTATATTGTTGGCCCATTGCAACTTCAGCATACTTATCCTTTTGGCTATGTTAGTTACTCTTGTTCTTCTGCGGATATCTTCGTTAAAGAATTTTATCGCGCATAAAAATTCCAAGCATAGGCCTTTTCATCGCTCGCTGAGTGATTTTTAGCTCCTTTATACGGCCAGCAGTGAAGGACCACGTTTCAGTTTCATAATTATCACTGGCAATACGTGGTTGTTTCATTCACCTTAAAATTCTGAGGAATTTCGGACAAGTAAATTCGACTTAGTTTCCCGAACGCAGGCCAGCCGGATTGAATTCGTCAAAAATTATCAACTCTCTGCAGTTGGATAGGTTTCATGCTTTAGTTCTTTACTCGCATAGATAGCATTACTATACCAAGTACTTATATGGCTCAATATAACGACTGTTGGCAACGCTAATGGGACTGTAATATCACCCAACTTTTGACTGAATCAAAGATTCTCACAGCCCACATATGCGAGACGTTATGCCTCGCGTATTTGGCATAAACCTCCTAATAGAAATTAAAGCATGTGGTTTGTCGTGAAATTTTAGAAATTATTTTGGTTCTAATTCATCACAGTGACAAACATGATAGACGGGTTTTGAACTCGCGACCCTCAATACCCCACCTCAATTAGTAACCCACTGCGAAACCGAGCCATCAATAAATTAATGTAATTTAGTCAAATTTAATGTGTAGTATTCATAGAAATGTAAGAAATGATTATGTTTCCTTTATCTCCTTTAATATAGAATAACTTCATGTTCTTCACGTTTGTATGGTTAAACAAATTACATTTGAAAAGACTTGTTTACTATTCTCTTGATTATATCTATACAGGATTCAGAAAAAAAAATAACGCTAGTATATTAAACCAATATTCTAGTAAGGCTTACAAATAACGAATCTCACTTCGTCTGAAGGCTAAGTATATTTACATGGAACAGATAGAAGCCTGCCTAGTGTTTGAAAGGTCAATAATGAAAAGGAGATTGAGGAATTAAATTGAGTAATAATTCTATAGAACACCGAAAGACCGACTATCGTACACAGGAATTTGAGAAAGGGCATTTCAGTAAATGTCAAAGCGAGCCTCTTGGCATATCTCTTCAATAAGACCAAAGCTACTTGTTAACTTGTGGCGTTATAATGACATAGGGAACTAGCAATCCGCCCCGGCTTCGCACGGGTGATTTCTTCATCTCTACAACAGCGCCACCTACCAAGTCTCTTGGCTTATCTCTTCAATAAGACCAAAGCTACTTGTTAAGTTATGACGTTATAATGGCATAGGGAACTAGCGATCCGCCCCGACTTCGCACGGGTGATTTCTGGATTTCGACAACAGCGCCACCTAAAGAGTTCAATTTTGAATCGCTTAGATTATCCAGGGACCCACTCAAATCACGTAAAAAGTTCCATCGAAATCGATCCAGCCTTTTTGAGTTTTAGCTAGACTAAAGGAGAATATCTAGATTAAAAGTTTAAACGTTTTTATTTTTATAAAAATCAATTTCTGTCCGTTAGTCTCGCTGAAACTCGAAAATGGCTCGATTTTGTTGAAATTTTTTGTGTGATTTAGTGGGTCCCTAGACGGCTTAGATTTACAATTGGACCCGGTTTGTGGCGCTGTGTTCGAGATCTAGAAATCACGCGTGTGAAGCCGGGACTGTTCGCTAGTTATAAAATAAAAATCCAGCATTTGAACAATGATTTTATTGTCTAAATTTAAATTTTTTACTTAGATATTTTTTTTGCTATAACTTTTTGTACCATTATTTATTCTATGCTATAACCTAGTGCTTGACTTTAAGGCATGGGTGACATAGTGAAATTTTTATTGCTATCTCTTCTGAAACCAATTTCGCTTTTTTGATAAAACTTACCAAAGATAATCTATGAAGGGAAAGCAGTGCATAGATTTATTTTTATGTCCCTATCTATTTTATTGACCTTTTATTTATTAACACCTAAGCCGTTGTAATATTTGTGTAACCGGAGAGCGCGGTGCAATGCAAAACAGGCTTAAGCCTGAAACTGATGCATTTTTATTACATACTCTTTTGAAACTAATGGTCTTATTTCGATGAAACTTAGCACACATAATTTACATAGTGTGAACAGGCTTGTTTTCTTATTTTGTATGTAAGGTCACCCAATGAAGAATAGCGTACCGCTTGGTATGTTTTTGAAAGTTGAGAGATGTATCAATTACTGGTACAATATGAGTTGTGCTACTACATATTTTCAAATTTTAATTATATATTCTCGTCTGTTTATTAATCCATTTTTGTTCCCCTCTTTTCCTATTCAATGATATTTTGGTTAAACTTTTACTACTATTAATTAATGGAAGTACTTATTAAAATTAACTTTTAGACTAAGACTAAAACTTGACTAAGATTTTTTATTAAATATATATTAAAATATTCTCTATCCTTTTAATAATATTTTTTTAGAAATAGGGTGACAAACGAACACACAGTCTACCTAATGGTAATAGGTTGCTGTGGCCCATAGACATCTACATCTATCCTCGTTTGCGAATCAAAATGCAGATGCGTTGTCAGCCTTCAAGACTAAGATGGAATGCCTCTTTTCCAGTAAAATGGGTCTCCGGTTCTCTACACTCACCATACGAAACACAGCAGCATTAAGCTGCTATTTTACGCAGGTATTCTGTGAGAGCGTGGTCCTTCCCCGGTCGAGCCGAGCCATTTGTGCTACAACTATATTATAAAATATAGCTGCAGCTTGGCTCTACCACGTAAAAATACGTCATACTAAATAACTCTACCTCACTTTTGTCCGCAACTCAGATAAAAAATTACTACATAGTATTATAATAATAAGGTTTGTTAATCTATAGATACAAATAAAATTGTATCTGTCTATTACTATAACTGCCTTATATTGAGCTAAGGAGGTTACTTGCATGCCATTATGATATGGACTACGTTTTTTTACTTCGTTTTTATTAAAACGAGTTAAAACGCGGTAGAGTCATGCTGCAGCTGTATTAATTATATAGTTGTAGCACACAAGGCTCTACCAAAATAGGACCACGCCCTCACATTATACCAGTGTAAAATAGCAGCTTAATACTGCTGTGTTTAGTATGGTGAGTGTAGAGAACCGGGGAACCTTTTTACTGGAACAGATGCATTCCATCTTTATCCTCGCGGCTGACAACGCATCTGTATTTTGATTCGCAAGCGAGGATAGATGTAGATGTCTATGGGCCACAGCAACCACTTCCATCAGGTGGACTGTGTGCTCGCTTGTCACCCTTATTCTATAAAATAGTGACTTTCTTGTTTCTCTGTCGTTCCGGGTAGAATTTAGTAATTGATTTTAAACCAACTTACCGATGAGCTGGAAACTTGAAATTTTGATTATAGCTCAAATTCAGATGACAATGACAAATTTAAAAAATAACACTACATTAGTTGATCCTACCCAGGCAAAGCCGGGCCGGGTTGCAAGTTATTATCAAGCAATGCTACACAATCACTAAAATGATCGTATCGGTGCTGATGTAATATATACGCTGTATTTATACTAAGTGCAATTCAATTAAGCTTTCAGGAATAGTTTAGCATTGTACCTCAGATGCCTGTTATATTACGTAATGTAACTACTCTGTGGCTGTCATAATGTCAGTATATTCAAATAAGTCAGCCGGCATACGCATCAGGAATTGTTTAATTAGATCACATTCCCATACAAAGATTCGTATCTAAAAATACTTAAAAGTCAATTTGAACTTTAATACCATCCCATAAAGTTTAAGTGTTAGTGAAGGGGTTCCGGGAAACAAAACAATTGAGTGACGTTAGTATCGTATAAATATTAATGTCAATATTTATCAATATTTATATACACTGGCAGATAGCTGATGTTATAAGGAGTAACTTGGGCTGCTTTTATTTTAGGGTTCCGCGAAAAATAACTCCACGCGGGCGAAGTCGCGGGGAACAGCTAATTCTTTATATATATTATTATTATACTACTTGGAATACCTACTTGTCTATGATTCCTACTGAATACGAATTTCATTTTTTACAAAATATGGAAACGTTCACCTCTGCAACATAAATTTGCTTTGTCACTCTTTCCTCATTCATTCTTTCTACATTGCCAAACCACCGAAGCATTCCTTTCTTAATCCTGGTCACAACATCATCTTGCAAACCACACTCTTCTCTTATTAAACAATTTCTCACTTTGTCATTCAGATTCGTCCCTAACATACTCCTTAATGACCGCATTTCTACAGCATTTATTCTACTCTCGTGCTTCTTCTGCCACACCCAACTTTCACTACCATACATTAAAGTAGGTACTAACACAGCATTGTGAATTGCCATACGTGCCTTTTTGGACACATTCTGACTTTTCACAATAGAGTGTAGAGCCTCATTCACTCTATTTCCTGCATTCACTCGTCGTTCTATATCCTTATCATATCTACCATCCCTGCTAAACACACATCCCAAATATACAAACTCATCTACTTGCTCTACCAACTCCCCTTCTATTCTTATTTCACATATCGTTTTACTTTCTTCTCTTTCAAAAACCATAACTTTCGTCTTACTTGCGTTCACTTTCATTCCCCTTTCTTTTAAGGTCCTGTTCATTAATGTAACCATCATTTGCAACTCGGCTGCCGACGACGCAAGTATGACTTGATCATCGGCGTACAA